AAAGCAAGAATTTATTCTATAAATTAGACACTAAATTCTTGCCAATAAAAAGTAGATTTATGCATCCTCTAAGAGTTAGAGTAGCTGATTTCTAAGGTTCTATTCCCATTGATTCAGATTCATCCAATGCATTTGCAAAAGTTATTCCTTCTGCCTGAAATGCCTGCCTTCCAACTCACCACACAGCCTCTTTGCATAACCCCAGCAGGACATCATTCACTTTGAAAAAAAATGTGAATAATGAGCCCTATAACTTGTACCCCTTGATGGGACTGTAGCTGATTGGCATGCCATTGAAGCCCGATCATGTACCTGGGCAGTAACAACATCTTAAGAAAACTTTCTCTAGGCCCTCATAGAATTTTGTTTCTACTTTAGTGACTACACTAACCATGCCCTATTGTCATGTATCTTTTTACATGTTTATGTCCCTCACTATACTATGCACACACAAAAAGGAGATATATATGTTTATTTTTGTGTCCTAGCACTGAGGATAATGCTTGGCCCAAAGTTAGCTCTCAATAAACACTTGTGGGATGGTTTATGAAAGAACTCATCCATCAAAGGTCTTTAAAGCTTCACAGAAGAGAAAAAAAGTACTTGACTCTAAAGTCAGATATTCACTGGAATTCTTACTCTGCTACTTGCCAATAGTGTGGCCTTGGCAAGCAATTTGTCTTCTCTCAGGCTCAGTTTCCTTTTCTGTAAAATAAGACTAGTAACCTTGCAGTAAAACTAAAAACAAAAACAAAGCACGCATGCACACAGACACACACAAAAATAAGGTACTGTAAGAACTAGCAGAGACTATAGATACCAGAATCAGAAACCTTCCCCCTCAAAAGCTCCAAAAACTGAAATTATCAGGTAAAAGCTGAAAAACAATCATGTGTGATACGCTTAAAGAAATAAAAAAGACTAAAATATAAGCTACCATGCAAATAACCAGATTTAAAAATAAATAAATTAGAACTTGGAAAAATAAAAAATATATATAAAAATTGAAACTTAAACCTTGATGAATGGACTTAATAAAAAATATTTAAGCAAAAAAGGCAGAACCAGGCACTTCACAGAAGAGGAAACACAAATGCCAATTAACATACAAAAAAAGACTCAATCTCATTAATCATCCTCAAAATGCAGATCAAAATACATTAAGATATTGGTACCCATCTACCAAACTAGCACATAGAAAGCCATACAATAACAAGTGATAGAAAGGATGAGGAACCATTAGAACTCACACATACTGCTGGCCGCAAGTACTTTGATACCAATGTTTTAGAAAAGAGTTTGGCGTTATCCAGTAACGTTAAGCATCTACATACCCTGATACCCAGCAATTTCCCTCTTAGGTGTCTACTCTAGAAACCCTGCATATATGCACTAGCAGATGTGCACAACAACATTCATAGCAGCACCATTTTTGATAGCAGAAACCAGCAAAAAACCACATGCCATCACCTGCAAAACTTCAAAAAGTGTGATATGCCCATACAATTGAATACAGCAGTGAAACTGATTTATAAACAGGTTCCTGTGAACAGAAGGATTGATATGGACAGTACCTAAGGGACATAGGCACTGAGCAATCAGAATGGAGACCTGATCAATCCAAGCCAGATGCTGTACCAGGGTATGCTGACTTAGTACTGGGCCTGAGAAGTGACTGTAGAACAAAAAATGAACAGCACGATTCCATGTATATAAATCCAAAAACATGCAAAATTAAACAATACATAGTTTAGAAGGATTATAAACATGTAGAGAAAGAAATGAAATAACATGTAAGAGTGGTTACCTCAGAGGGGTCAATGTAACGTAAGATGGGGAGAGACACATAGGAGACTTCTTCCTTAAACTTCCTTAAACTGTGTAATATATACCCACAAGGGTGTTCATTGCATTATTATTCTTTACACCCTACACACATACTTAAATATTCTTTTAGATATTCAATACTTAATAATAATTTTTAAAAAGCATTAATGAATTTAGATAAAATCTGAATCCCGATTTCAGTTTTTATTAGTAGAATGGTTTTAGGTAACTTGCTTAATCTAATCTCTTTGTATCTCAGTTTCCTCCTCTATAAAGTGGGGGTGATAACTGCCTCAATATTGCTGAAAGAAGCAAAGGTAAAAGGCTAAACATACATAGGGGAGGAGGTCGTATTTCTAACATATCCATATCTCCACCTCCAATGTCACTTTCAATGGAAGTTGCCTATTCAGTCTGATTAATTCTGATACTCATAGAAACTCTCCATGTCTGCCTGTTTCACTTCCTTGTCACAGCAACAGAAGGCAATTTGCAGTCTTTCTCTCTCCAAACCAAGAGCACCAATGGGAATGCAAAACAAAGGAACTGGTACTTATTATGTAGATCTCAGAAGGAAGCATGGGTCCCAATGAGAAAATGGGAAAAAGTAAGTAAGCACTCTCCTTTGGGAATGGATGTGTTGGCTTTCTTTCTCTCTTCAGCTATAATTGACTGTGACTTCTGTTTCTTTGCAATACCCAATGGTCAGAATGCTTGTTTTTCCTATGGAGCACCAATAAAGAAATGAGATGGTGTAAACCCTCAGATCTTTTTTCACTGTGGAAGACTCATTACTAAGTCTGTCTGCTACATGAAACCCCTTTCTGTTCAATGAAGAGGAGGGAAGGTAAAAGAAACCAATATTGAATGGCCCTCCGCCGGCAAGCTCATCCTCTTATCTCATTAATTTCCACCGCAACGGGAGAGGGGGTTTGTAGGAATAACTATACCAAGTTTCACAACCAAGAAAGAGCCTTAACAATCTAACCAAGGTCTCATAGCTGGTGTCTAAATAGACATCTGTCCCCACATGATAGAAAAGAACTTTAAAAAAAAAAGTGTTCATGATCCCAAGAGATTCTGATTTCAGTGGCCTTTAAAACCTTTCCCAAGTGGGGCGCCTGGGCGGCTCAGTCGGTTGAGCATCCGACTTCAGCTCAGGTCACGATCTCGCGGTCCGTGAGTTCGAGCCCCGCGTCAGGCTCTGGGCTGATGGCTTGGAGCCTGGAGCCTGCTTCCGATTCTGTGTCTCCCTCTCTCTCTGCCCCTCCCCCGTTCATGCTCTGTCTCTCTCTGTCTCAAAAATAAATAAACGTTAAAAAAAAAAAAATTTTAAAGTAGGCTTCATGCCCAGCGCAGAGCCCAACATGGAACTCAATGTAGGGCTTGAACTTATATGAACCTGAGATCAAGATCTGAGCTGAGATCAAGAGTTGGACACTTAACCGACTGAGCCACCCAGGTGCCCCTAGACAGTATTTCTAAATGGTATTGTCAATTGCTGGCAGTTACAAAAAATACAACATAAATGAATTTTTATTCAGCATGATTTTTAAATTTTTTTTGACAATTCTTGTTGTGGCAACTATAGCAGAATAGGTTTTCCTTAAAATTAATATAAATATATGAAGGAATTTTATAGGACAACATTTAACAGAGTTGACCTGACTCAGCAAAGAGGCAATGAATAGAGTGGTTAAGAATATGGGTTTGGGGCTCTGGGTGGCTCGGTGGGTTAAGGGTCCAACTTTGGCTCAGGTCATGATCTCACAGTTTGTGAGTTCAAGAGCCACACTGGACTCCAAACTGGTAGCCTGGAGCCTGCTTGGGATTCTCTCTCTCCCTCTCTCTCTCTGCCCTTCCCCCACTCATGCTCTGTCTCTCTCAAAATAAATAAACATTAAAAAAAAGAATATGGATTTGAATTCCATCTGCCACTCAATGGTTTATGGCCATGGCTAATTAACCTCACTTGAATCTCAGAAATCGGGATAATAATTGTACTTGCCTCTAAGATTCATGTGAGAGTCATCCAAGCACTCAGTAAACAGGAGCTCAAGCAGATTAAAACAAATGTAAGTTGCAAAACTCATGGTGATTTTTCTAAGTCATGACCAAGACCATTCTGTTTGTATAATAGTTTTAAATGTGAACAGAATGTTGCCTTTATTATCCTGTTTGATGTAGATTTACTATTTTAAATTAAATATTAATTTTTGCTTTGTCAAAAGAAATGTTTTAGGTATTAATAAATTTTTGTACCTATGAATTATAAAATAATGGTTTTGTTGTATGTGATAATGGCAGGGATAGGGATGGGGAACAACGGACATCAGGATTCATTTTTATGAGTTATAACCCTGAGGGGGAGAAGGCCAGGGTTAAATCAGCAACACTGCTTGGAGGAGGTGACCTAATAGTCATAATTTTAAGGAGGTGGTGTGTGATCTACAGGGAGGAAAACTTTCACCAGGCCTCAGATAGGCTGCTGAACTCCAGTTCTTCAAAGCATTGACACGAGCAGGACTCAAGGTCAAACCTAATGCCCCGGACTCAAGTTTGCCACAGAATTTTCAGAGCAAGGACCCCAAATAATACGATCTTTTGAGGAAAGTGTGAAATTCAAACTGAGGGCATTAGATGAAAAAGTACGCCTGATTTAGAAGTAGATCTTGTGATCACAAAGTCACCACATCACAAAATTACCTTCAGTGCTGTGGCATTTTACTAGTTTTGAGGTAAAAAGGAAGGCACCATGTCTGTGTTAGGGAACACACACACACACACATACACACACACACACACACACACACACAGACGTTTTCTGGAAATTTCTTGCATACATGTTTGGAACATTCTGGGACACTTCTAGTGTGGTTCCAGAAATACGGAGCACAATACAAGACACTGTAGAAGAGACATAGCCTCAGGCTACCTGTTCGATGAAGGCCCTACAGTTCTGGAGTTCATGACACTACACTCTGGCCCTGTAGCCAATTTCCCTCCAAGCCCGCCCGACCTGGCTCTACCAACCAGCCTGGTCCCCCCACAGTTCCCTTCCCCTCACACTGTCATCAGAGGTGCTTGGGGCACAGTGGTCACCACTGGGTCCAGGGTCCCAAAGTCTTCATAATGATACCCCTACTCCCCAAATGAAATTCAAGGATCTTTACCTTCACAGGGTTGACATCCTGTTTCTTTCTTGTTTTCAAAACCGGGAAGGATGTTAAACTGCATTTCCTTGGCTTTTGAGCATCCATTGTAGTCCTACAGGAGGAAGGGTAGAAAGAAAATTGGCAGTAGGAGCAAAGTGTCGGTAATGGCCCCAACACCCAAGGCAGGAAGAACACAGGGCAGGCTTGGAGACAGAAGTAGGTGGCGGGCCTGAAACAGTGACTGAGTCTCTGTTACTCCTTTTGTTTCCCTTCTGGTGACTGATGATGTCAGGAGAGGGGGCGTCTTGGCATGAGACTTTGGGTGCTCAGAGCAGAGGGAGATGGCAGCCAAGGAAGAAAGATGAGCTAATAATGTGGCCAGCAGTTTAGGACACCAAACAAAAAGACCCATTTCCTCTAGCTCACTGCAAAGTAAAACATTCTCTTGCCACACACACCTTACACTCTGAAAGATACATACATTAGCAGTTACTTGGTAGCTGAATGCCTATAGAAAGAGAAAAAAAGGACAATTGGTAGAAATGCTTTCCCTGGATCTCATTTAGCCATTTTTGCACCTTCTTTACTCAGGGCACAGCTCCTTGAATAATGAACTCGCTGCAAGAGGAAGAACTAATTCAACTTAAGTTTATGGCATCTAGTCAAAGTGGTGATTTATGTGAGTGGAAGAGTCTTAGAGGCTCTCATGCCACTGCTACACACCTGTTCCACAAGCAGATGGATGCTGGAACTCTGCTTTGTGTCCCTTGGAAGTCCCTTGTCAGCCTCCAACTCTAGCAAGAGCCAAGGGAATCGGGAATATATGAATAAGGACAGAAAGGGAATCAGTGCAAATGTTATCCTGGCTTCTGCCTACCATTCCATTGTTTAGGTTCTTACAGACACTATAATAGTGACAGCATCACAATTTTGAAATTATTCAGAGGACTGAAGACAAGTCACATCCACTGTTCTTGCAGCATAATGTTGGAAAATCAGAAATTACTTGTCTCTATATAAGGAGAAGTTTAAAAATGCAGCAATATGTATTATAGACTATGATGTGATCATTTAAAAAATGAAGCATATTTCTATGTATGCCTGTAATATATTGAATAAAACAGAATAATATGAATGATTCCATATTTATTTAAGGAAAACCAAGATGTCTGCATGACTTTACACAGGCATATTCAGGAATATAGAAAATTAAACCATCAAGTTAATTACCTTTGAGGGACAGAGCTGAGAGAGGGGGGTGGGGACTTTAATTTTAACACACACACACACACACACACACACACACACACACACACACACACAACATAAAAAAAGTCCTTCCCACCAACAGTGCAAGAGGGTTCCTGTTTCGTGCCCCCATGTTTATAGTGGCACTTCCAACAATAGCCAAATTATGGAAAGAGCCTAAATGTCCACCAACTGACGAATGGATAAAGAAGATGTGGTTTATATATACAATGGAATACTACTTGGCAATGAGAAAGAATGAAATCTGGCCATTTGCAGCAACATGGATGGAACTGGAGAGTGTTATGCTAAGTGAAATAAGTCAGTGAGAGAAAGACAGATACTATATATGTTTTCACTCATATGTGGATCTTGAGAAATTTAACAGAAGACCATGGGGGAGGAAAAGGGGGAGAGAAAGGTACAGAGAGGGAGGGAGGCAAACCATAAGAGATTCTTGGATACTGAGAACAAACTAAGGGTTGATGGGGGATGGGGGAGAGGGGAAAGTGGGTGACAGGCACTGAGGAGGGCACTTGTTGGGATGAGCACTGGGTGTTGTATGGAAACCAATTTGCCAATAAATTAAATAAATAAATAAATAAATAAATAAATAAAGCCCTATGCAAACAGTATGGAGGCTCCTCAAAAAATTAAAAATAGAACTACCCTATGACCCAGCAATTGCACTACTAGGTATTTACCTAAGCGATACAGGTGTGCTATTTTGAAGGGGCACAGGTACCCCAATGTTTATAGCAGCACTATCGACAATAGCCAAAGTATGGAAAGAGCCCAAATGTCCATCGATGGATGAAGCGATAAAGAAGATGAGGCATATATATATACAATGGAGTATTACTCAGCAATCAAAAAGAATGAAATCTTGCCATTTGCAACTAGACCAAATCAAAAAGAATGAAATCTTGCCATTTGGATGGAACTAGAGGATATTATGCTAAGCAAAATTAGTCAGAGAAAGACAGATATCATATGACTTCACTCATATGAGGACTTTAAGATACAAAACAGATGAACATAAGGGAAGGGAAGCAAAAATAATATAAAAACAAGGAGGGGGACATAACATAACAGACTCTTAAATACAGAGAACAAACTGAGTGTTCCTGGAGGGGTTGGGAGTGGGGGGAATGGCTAAATGGGTAAGGGGCATTAAGGAAGACACTTGTTGGTGTGAGCACTGGGTGTTATACATAGGGGATGAATCACTGGAATCTACTCCTGAAACCATTATTGCACTATATGCTAACTAACTTGCATGTAGTTAATTAATTAATTGATTTATTTAAAAGTCCTATGCAAAAGCAAACAAAAAGTAATAGTTGCTTCTCTTCAAATGATCATAATGTCCCTTCTTTCTTCCCTTCCTTCTTTCATTTCTACAAACATTGCTGAGATAATTCCTCTGACAAACCAGACATGGCCTCTGCCCTCAAGGAGAGTTTGTAATCTAGGAGGGGAGACACATGGACATTACAACGTACATGATCATTACAATGCACGTGATCATGGCATTAATAGAGGCCTGTGCAAAGAGCTAATGGAGCACACTTCCAGGGATGACTAACGTCTGTTGGAAGAGCTGAGGAAGCCTCTGCACTTAAGCAGAGTAGAATTGTCCTTGCGGAATAAACAGGACAGGAATGGAGTCGAGGGCAGTTGGAGAAGACTGTGTAGGCACAAAAAGTATGAAAGAGCAGTGCCTTCTCCAGAAAGTGTGAGTACATGGACATTGCTGGTGGAGGGCCAGAGAGCTGGTTAGACTGTAAAGAAAGGGTCGCATGGTTTATTCTAAGCCTGAAAAAATCAGACTTGTACTTTAGGATCATCTCTCTGGCAATGCCATGGAGCAAGGTTTGGAGGAGCTCAAGTAGGAAGCTGTCTGGAGCATCTAACGCAAGACATGATGCGGGCCTCAACCAAGGCAATGATAGTAGGACAGAGTGCAAGTGGGAACCTGGGATAATTTGGGGGACAGAACCGGTAGAATTTGGGCCATCAATCTGATGTGGAGGTTGTAAAATCTGAACACTGGGGAAGAATGAATATAATTCTTTCTGCCAGGGCTCTGTATCAAATGTTCCCTCCATCTACTTCCCAAGGATGTGGGACACCATACAAGTCCACGTGCCTCTTTCCTGGCAAGTGGAGCTTTTTCTTCATTTCAGCTTCAGGTGCCCTGTCGGTGAAGACTACACAAAGACCTGAAGAAGATGCTGAGGGATCTTGGAGTCTCATCTCAGTGCTGCCCCAGACAGATTCTGAGCAAGTCATGTGCCTTCTCGAGACTCAGTTTCCCCATTTGTAAGATTTGTAAAACTGGACCAGATGACTTCTGATGTCCCTTTCAGTTCTAAGCTTCTTTGATTCTAACTTTATTAAATATTGTCAGATTGGGGGAAAAATTCTATTGTGACTTTGGATAATTCTGTGGTTCTCAAAGACTATTTTGTGCCATTTTTCCCCTAAGAATGCATTCAATCTAACTTCCATTTAATCCATGACACTTAGTCCACACTCAAAGCTTCACAAATACCATGTTTTATCCTCAAAATAAGTGGTGAACTATGTAGAGTATGTTTTATAGCTTGTTTATAACTGTTGCATGAAGGATTAGAGAAAACAAATAAATTCATCTCAGAGCTAAATATTGCTTTGAAAACTGAAACTAAGACTTAAAAATTACTCCTATTATTTTACATGAAGATCAGTTTCCCTACCTCTCCAGCTTATATACCCATCTCTTTCCTCTGGATTTCAGCATTTTTGCTTGTGTTACTTGATCAACAACTTTATTGTTAATTATTTTAGGGGTAGACACTTCATCTCATCTTGATTGTGAATCTCTTGGGGGCAGGAATGATGAACTTGGATTTTGTTTTATTTTACTTTATTTTATTTTTTATATTTTTCATAGGGGCATGGACAATGACTTGTCTACTGAAAGGCCTTTGTACAAATGTTCTGAAGAAAGAGAAATCTAAGACAGTTTAGATTAATTCATCAAAAAAATTTGAAATCACCATCTGAATGTCAGAAACTGTGTTAAGCATGGGGGATTGAGAGATAAATAGAACAGAATCCTTGCTTTCATGGAGTTCAGTCTTGTGGGCATGACAGACCCATAAACAGTGGACTGCAGACACAGTATTTTATACATAATGCATTATCTATGTACACCAATCTTCGATGCCCAGAAAGGATATATATCTTTTGAGATTTACCTGGTATGGTTTTAGTATTTTTACTGTAGCTGTTCAGTAGCTAGTTCTTTATGCCCTGGAGAGCTACCTTTGGGGCAGAAATTGTGGCAGTGAAGAACTTTGCAGGGACTCCCTTTGCATTTCTGTGAACAAGAGACAATGTATTTAATGCATTTAACTTACTGTCACTTCTGCAAAGAGAACTCCTTGGGTCCCTTTGCAATTATCCTTGAAACCCTTCATGGTCTGTGGACTCTCACAGCTGGAAGGGGTTTTAGAGGCCATTCATCCATTTCCTGCCTGGGAGAAATCCTCCTTAGGGTATCCCTGGCAATCACTCAGTCTCTGCTTGAATATTTCTGACAGAGCTCACTGTTCCTCCAGGCAACTCATTTCTCATCCGGCTGCTGATACATATGATTGGTGCCCAGCAAATGTTGGTTGGAAGAAATGATATTGAACAACATACCCTCCACCGATACTTGTTATCTTCTGCAGAACAACAAAGAACACATCTACCCTCTCTTCTACTCAAGAGTTCTTGAATATTCAAAACAGTGGCTTTTGCTTCTCTGGAACCTACTCATCTCCAGGCATTCTGGAGTCTTATTTCTTTTTTTTTTTTTCCAACGTTTATTTATTTTTTGGGACAGAGAGAGACAGAGCATGAATGGGGGAGGGGCAGAGAGAGAGGGAGACACAGAATCAGAAACAGGCTCCAGGCTCTGAGCCATCAGCCCAGAGCCTGACGCAGGGCTCGAACTCATGGACCGTGAGATCGTGACCTGGCTGAAGTCGGACGCTTAACCAACTGCGCCACCCAGGCGCCCCCTGGAGTCTTATTTCAAACGCCTCTTCATATGATACAGCATCCAGGCATGATGGAGAGAACCTATATTGTAACTATTCCTCTCTACTGTCTAGTTTTTTGATGACCTTGCTTTAAGAGGCTACGGTTTTCTAGAGTCTAGGTTATGGACTGATCAGTGCTAACTCAGGCAGGAAGACCTTTACATCATTCATCTGTTTGCTATATTTCTATTAATGAAGCCTAGACCAGTATTTTCCCTTTTTAGCCATCACAACACACTCATGTTGGATTTGGCATCAGCTAAAACCAATGACTCCCAAGACTGGGTCTTCGGCAGGTTTGAGAAGTATCTTTCTAGCCAAGTTCCTGACAACAGTACGGAGTCGGGGAAGGCGAAGTCAAAGAATGGCTGGCACACTACTAGAGACTGCCTTCGGGTTTATCATTACCCTCTCGGTAAGGACTAAAACAGACAAGGGAAATAACAGACCAATTAGCAGAGTCCAGGTTTGGAGAATTCCTTAGAACTCCTCGATTTTACGTACCCAACACACATAAATGATGAAGTCCCTCAAGCAAGACTGGCAACAAAGGACCCATTTGTCCTTTCATAGTCTGAACTTTCTATAAATGGCCTTGCACTTTTGACCATCAGTCATTTTAAAACAGGTCTGAGGGTTCACAAGTTACTTAAGCCCTGAATTGACTAATGGACATTTCAAACGTAGCAAGTAGCACAAATCAACTTAAATCAGATTTTTTAAAAACCCAAATTTTGTATTCTTCATCCCTCTTTTGGGGAAAATATTTGCTAAAAGGAGCATCACCCTGGAGTGGCAAGTATCACCAAAAGGAAAGCGTTGCTCTGGACGTACGATCCACCCACCGCTTTGAGTCGCCCTGCATTGGGCTCTGGCTGAGCAACGGAGGCGTGCAGGGTCAGAATAGGCTCGTGTCAGCCAGATCCTAGGGCGTCCACGTGAGGCGTGGGGTCGTGGGCTCACTTTTGACCTCCAGGAGGACCAGCCAGGACGTGAAGATAAATAAAAGGGGAAGAAATTTTGTGCCCCACGTTGTTGAGGCCAGGGCTGGAAGCGATTTCAGGAGAGGTCTTATGACCTCCCTAAAATCCACCTCTCTCCACCACGCACTCAGCCCAGGTCAGCGATGCAACATTCTGTTAGGAGGAAACTGTATCCACGTTGGGTTGTGAGGACAGAGCGGTTCAGAGCACTTTCCTCCAGTCCGCGCTCACACTCAGCCTCTCTCTCTCCTCTGACCACACTTCTACTACATGCATTCTCTGCTCTGCACCTCCCTTGACCCCGCTCCGCACCACATTCTTTCCCCACAGCCCCAGAGCCTTTGGCCCGCCAGCGTCCACCCCCCACCCCCACCCCGGCCTTACTTGGTCCCCACGCGGGCAGAAGGTGGGAGGAGCTGCATCGGGCTAGCGCAGACTTGCCGGGCGGCCGCTGCGGGACACTCACTCCAACACCCCGCCCGCAGGCCCGCCCGCGCGGGCCGGGGACCACGCCCTCCTCCAGTCGCTAGGGAAACTCTGTCCACCCTTTTTGTGACTCCGGACCTGCAAGAACTTGGGCTCTGGACCGGTCCAAACCACCTTTCACACCAGATCCTAGATCCTCACACCAGATCACACCAGATCCTCTTCCCTTTGCTCCAATTCAATCGCCCCAGAGTTGAAGGACATCCCAAGGATGGGGAGATTAGAGTTCACCCAATTGCCCTAGGCTCCTGAAATTATCCCTACTTTCTCCCTCTTCAAAAGTCTGTGGTTACCAGAAGCTCACAGCAAAAGTTCTGGATATAATATATTCAGATGAACACTTCTTGAGCATTTGCTCTGCATCAGGTTTTAAGTGCATGAAAACTAAGGGAAGTTATAGTTGAATGACAGTAGCAGGGCCTGGAAGAATACAGTCTGCTTGATAGAGGAAACATTCAAAAAAAGCTTTTTGAAAGAGCAGAGTTGAACTGGATTCTTCAAGGCCAAATAGGAATTAGCAATGTAAAGCAGGCAAACAAGAGCCAGGGTAAAAGCCCAGAGCGAGGGGTAACAACATGGTATCTTAGGTGCTGGCACAGTCCAGAGCAGGAGACCAGGTTGAAGAAGCAGGCAGGGAACAGCCAAATGGGAAACATCTTGCGAACTGAATGTTCATGCTCAGATTTTAGAAAACTTTCTGGCAATATGGTATGAAGGATAGGCCAGAGGAGGTTAAAAATCAAGGCAAGGATGCCTGTGAGAAGTAGTAAGTGACATTTCAGAGAGGACAGCTCTGCGTAATTTATGGAATGGAAGAAGCTCAGTGACCAGTGTGAGGGGTGGATGTGCCTGAGGCCCTCCAGTTGATGGTGGTGCCACTTACTAACAGAAAATACAGGAGGGGAAACGCTGGGGGGCAGGGGGAAGTTACTGATCCAGTGATGCCTTATTGCATCAAATTATCAAAGGACTAGGTAGGCTCTTGTGTAGAACAAGATCTGGGCTAAAACTCCTGACACAGTCTACCACTGGACTTTGAAGTCACCTAAGCTCTAAAAAAAACAAAAGGCAGGGGAAAAGAACGGAATCACACAAAATAGGACATTATGGTGGGAAGAGTGAGTGTGGGGGACAGAAAACATTGGAAAGCTGAAAAACAATGAAGAACAGGCAGAGATGTGGGGAGAAAATTATACAAGAATAGTGTCACGTGGGACCAGGAAATAAAATGTGATGAATAGGGCCTATAAGACTAGGTAAGAAAAATGTACACTGCATTTGACAATGAAAGGCCATTAGTGCTGTCTGCAAGGCCAGTTTAAACATAATTTAAAGTCGTTTTCAATACAAACTATTACTCTGAATGACACAGAGAAAACAGGTTCATCACGCTGGTGCCTCTGGATGACTGATCAGTGACATCAGTACCTCATACATGGCAGGCTCTTAATAAATGTTTCCTGTTGAACTGCACCAGACAGCATGCATCTCAATACGTTGTACCTGAATATATGTTTTCAGAAGTGGATGTCGCGGGGTAGGTTAGGAGGTACATGACAGTGTAAAAACATATGCAAGAAAAAAAATGTATAATAGCAACAGGCAAATGCTCACTTCAGTCATAATTCTAAATTACTTATTTTCACATTAACATAGATGTTTCTACAAACATGTAAAACTGAACTAGTAATATTATACATGTTTAAATGATTGACATGATTTGAAGAGCTTTTATTAAAAAGTGATCAGGAGCTGGCTGAAACTCTCACCAGAAAATGTAAAATATCCATAACTACTTTTCTTCATAACAAGTTCAGAGCTAAGCTTCCTGAAAAGCTGGATTATCTAATATCATAATAGAGATGACCAGATACTTGACAGCCATCATCTAAGGTACCGGCTTAACATAAAGTGATGATTTGAAGAAACAGCTCCCTCCAGCCCCCACCCCTTATATTCACAACAAAAAAACTAAGTTTTTTTTTTTTTTTCATAAAGCATTCATTTAATCTAATGAAATAAAGACAACCTAATGAAATGTAGACAAATGTAGACAGGTGCAATGGGCTCAAGGAAAGAGCATATCAAAACTTTTTCACTTTTATTAAAGGCTTTGATGAGAACTTCATAAAATGTCATGAAATTCTATTTGCTATACAATAAACATCTACTTCTGAGTAGGCGACATAGGTCATTATAGCAACCATTTTAATGGATAAATGAATTCTGAATTCTTAGTATTTGACTAAAATATGAAACATTTTTGCAATTAAACTGACAATGTAGCTTAAGTAAGATTTCAGAAATGTCTCCTGGAAAAAGTGGGAATGTTTCCTTTTAAACTCTGAATAGTTAAGGTGCCATAAATTAGACAAAGCTAGAAAGGAGCATCATGTTTCTAGAAAAGAATAGCATGCAACATGGACTTTCTCCATGTCAAACTGACAACCACTGAATGACAATGACTTATTATACACAGGAAAAATAGAACACATTCTCCAGAAGGAAAGGGCATTACAAGATAATTCTGATAAACAAACCCCTTATTGAAATCTTGAATACCTTCAGAGAACATCATCATGGAATGGGTAGAGGCAATTTATAGGACATTAAAGGATTCCTTTATCTTATGATACCCTCCTTAAATATAAACACACATCAAATATAAACACACTTGTAAAACTGTTATTCTCTTAATCAAACATGTGTTTACTATCACACTCAGCTACTAGCGGCATTTGGATGCAAAGGTTTAACTCGTGCTAATCTGGACAAACCCAGGCGGAGACTCTGATTTGGAGACTTAACAGACACGCCTGCCAGTGGGCTCCTGATGCTGCTGCTTCCGGACATCGCTGAAAGAAAACATAGCACCTGATGCTGATGATGTTAGAAATCTCCTAACAAAGATCAACTTACAAAACAGAAGATGCAAAAAAAGGTAGGTAGAGATTACTCTGGTATACAAGCTCTATTCAAGCTACAAACAAGATCAAAAGAATGAACAGTATTAAAGATTAGAAAGAATATAGTACTGCCTATTTTCAAACATGCTCCGAAGGCAAGGTAACGACACCAAAACTTTAAGCATGAAAGCTGAAGTTGGTAAGTTGGGAGCAAATAACATTGGTTGCAGAGGCATAGAGAATAAAGAAATGCATGCGGTTATAATTTCTAGTAGTAGAAAAATCTAATGCATTTTTTAAAAATCCCATATTTTTCCAAATACTCCTTGAATCTATTTTTTTTCAAATATTAAATAACTGTAAACACGACCAATACTCTTTTTACTTATTTATACTAGTTCTTTTAAGTGACATCGTATAGTATTTGCCTTCTCTGACTGGGGCTGGGGTGGGTGAGTGAAATAGATAAGGGGGGGATAAAGGAGATTAAGAGGTACAAACTTCCAGTTATAAAAGAAATGTCCCAGAGATGAAAAGTATAGCACAGAGAATATAGTCAATAATATTATAATAATGTTGTTTGTTGACAGATGGTGACTACACTTATCATGGTGAGCACTGAGTAATGTATGGAATTGTTGAATCAAGATATGCCTGATATTTCAGAAGATGAAGTAATTAAGAGACATTAAGTAATTATGGAGTCTCAGACTGAAACCCTTTCCTTTTAATGCTTTTTTTTTTTTGTAATATTTCAAGCTTTTATTTAAATTCTAGTAAGTAACATATAGTGTAATATTAGTTTCAGGAGTAGAATTTAGTGATTCATCACTTACATATAACACCCAGTGCTTATCTCAACAAGTGCCCTCCTTAATGCCCATCACCCATGTAGCCCATCCCCCTACCCACCACCTCCCCTCCAGCAACCCCTAGTTTCTTCTCTATAGTAAGAGTCTCTTATGATTTGCCTTGCTCCGTTTTTTTCCCCTTAAACTCCACATATGAGTAAAATCATATGGCATTTGTCTTTCTCTTATTTATTTCATTTAGCTCCATCCACATCACTGCAAATGACAAGATTTAATTCTTTTTCATGGCTGAGTAATACTCCATTGTGTGTGTGTGTGAACACCACATCTTCTTTATTCATTCATCAGTCAGTGGACATTTAGGCTCTTTCCATAGCTTGGATATTGTTGATAATGCTGCTATAAACTTGGGGTACACGTGCCCCTTTGAATCAGCATTTACCCAAAGGATACAAAAATACTGACTCAGACTGAAATCTGTCTATTAATATCTAGTTATCAGGGAGTGACCACTATGGACCAATCAAGAAATGTCAGTAAGGGGCACCTGGGTGCCTCAGTCATTTAAGTATCCCACTCTCGATTTCAGCTCAGATATGATCTCACAGTCATAAGATTGAGCCCCACCTTGGGCTCCAAGCAGAGTGTGAAGCCAGCTTAAGATTCTCTCTTTCCTTCTCCCTCTGCCCCTCCCCCAATCTCTCAAAAAAAAAAAAAAAAAAAAAAGAAAAGAAAAAAGAAATGTCAGTGAAAAGAAGTAAACCAAACCTGAGTAGATTTGGAGGGACTTAGAAAAGGAAAGGGGACAAAGGGGGAGAGACATACCAGACAGAGGAAACTGTATACAGAGAGGCTCTTAGAGAAGATATACATTGTGTTTAAGGAAGAAAAACTGTATCAGTTTCACTGGACTAGGAAGTGGACACAGGACCAGTTATGAAACCATAGGTAGCTTGGGCATGAAATGAATGGGGCCTGGACTAGGGTTTTGGTAATGTCAGGAAGGGTGAAAGCCAAAGAATTCTTGAAGGATCAGCAAGGCTTGGCTGTGGAACAAAAGAACACAAAGGGAAGAGAAGTCAAGTCTGCTAGGGCATTTGTGAAATGCTAGAAGTCCCACGTACAGGTCCTGAGGCTTCAGTCAGACTATGATCAATGGATCTTGAGCAAACAGACTTGTTGCCAAAAATAAATATCAGGAATTTAAAATGTGGACACTCTTTGACACTGTAATTCCACTACTAGAAATTTATCCTAAGAAAATAATCAAGGATGTGCCCACAGATTTCTAAAATAAGGATGTCTGTGCTTCTTGTAACCTTATTTATGACACTGAAAAAACAATAAGCAATCTGGATGCTCAGTATAAGGGAATGATAAATGACAAATAAATGCAGCAACTAAAAACCTTGGTTTTGAAGAATACGTAATAATATGGTATAACATTTGCAACTAGGAAAAAAAGCTGACAGTGATAATTTTCCAAGCCTCTGCCCTTAATCAATAAATATACCATACCTGGTGGGACCCACTTAGGTTTTTTGTTTTCAGCCAAAGGACTGCGTATTTGTAATGGTTTCCTAGTGACCTCCGAAGAACCAGAAACCTTTTTTGGTGAAGGCTGAAGTTCTGATTTCACAGAAGCTGGAGCAGAGTCTCCTGAAGTCACTTTAAAAAATATACATAGAAAAAGGTTTTCACAGAGGAAGAATAAGTCTGGCAGGTAGGTATAAAAATTATAAAGTTACATAATCTCATAAAAATTAAAAAGGCAAGATTATCAATTAGAGAAACTCTAATTATACACAAACATTTATTGAGAGCCTAAGAACAGCCATCTTTAATGAGCATTTATATGCCAGGCAGTGTGGTAAGCATGCCATATATATCACTTTTAACCCTTAGAGCAGCTCTCATACCAATATTCCTAGCCCCACTGCCAGATAAGGAAACAGACAGGTTGAGCAGTCTGCCTACAGTATGCCAGCTGGTGCGTCCCTAAGCCAGGATTAGGAGCCAGGTCTGGCTCCATAGTCCATACATTATATAATGGCGTCTCATCAGTATGTGTCAGTGAGACAATATATTAGGCTCTAGGGTTACAAAGAGCTCACAGATCCTGCTGCCAAGGAATTTACGGTTTGGTCACTAGACTCTAGTAGAAAGGGGAAAAAAGTAAAGACATGTGTATAATGCAGTGGGGATAAGAGATAAGACAAAGTCTAGAGGTATACACAGGAGGGAACCTACAATCTGTATGCATACCTGCATAGGGGTAAAAGTTACAAGGAAGTTGTTTGAGGATAGTTTGAGCCAAATCAAGGCTGAAGAGGAAAGATGAGTCAGAGGGAAGTTTTCCTGGCAGAGGGAGTAGAGCATGCAAAGCTGGAGAATGCAGCAGGCCCCAGGACCGGCCTCTGGTTCAGTATGGCTAGAGCAGGAAGGTCAAGGAGAGAGACACGGACAGGATGCACATCACTGATGAAGAGCTGTGTGCACCAGTGAAGGTGTCTGGCTAGTCACAGTCATGTACTGGTTTTTCTTGGGAACACTTGTGTTCTGAACACATCTTTCTGATGGTAGCATATGGCAAGCAGACCACCCAGAAGGCTCTTCAGGTTATAAAGAGGTGGGAGGTGATAAAGGCCTGAACCCAGGGAGCATGAAGGAAAGAACAGCAGTTGGAGATCTTTTAGGAATTAGATGGGGGGAGGTAGTGATGGAGATGAAGAAATAATCATAACTTGCAAGTTCCTGTCATGGGCACACTGCTGGATGGTATCATTTACCCAGAGATGAACACAAGAATGAGACTAGGTTTTGGTGTCTGGGGTGGGGGGAGAGAGGGATGTGCTGGAAATGAAGGGAGGAGAGGTAGAATATAAATTCACTTCTGAGATAATGCTTGCTGTGATATACCTCAGGATATCTAAAGGTATTTGAAGATGAACATTTTCACTATATACTCTTCTTAATGTTAACCTCTATATTCCCTAGATCAGCACTGTCCAACAGAAGCTTTTTTGCTGTGATGGAAATTCTGTGCTATCCGTGTGATAGCCACTAGCCACATGTTGTTATTAAGCACTTGAAATGGGGTTAGCAAAACCTGAATTCACTTTTAAAGTTTATTTAATTTTAATTAAGTCTAATATAGCTGTATACAGCCAGTGGCTATCATATTGGACAGCACAGCTCTCAAAAATTTTCTCTATCAAGGGAAAAATTGTAACATGTGCCTGATGAAAAGACTCTCAATGGTTATTCCATATGTTACTAGTGGGACTAGTAATATATTCCATATTTCCTAATTCATAACCCCATTATTTGGCAGTTAAATTTTACTACTAAAATTATATTTTAAGCTTCCTTGTGAAACAACTTGCTCCAATCCAGTAGACCTGAAATGGTAAATTCCAATGTGTAAACTAACATTTTATTCCTAATTTTTAGTATGTCTTGGTGAAGAAGCATAAACAAGCATCCAAAGAAAATATAAAATACATTCATACTGTCAATGACTTTTTCATATCAGTTTGTGGTAGGCAGAAGGATGGACCCTCAAAGATGTCTATATCCTAATTCCCAGGACATGTGTATGTCACCTTCCACAGCAAAGGACTTGGCAGATGTCATTAAGTTAAGGATCTTGAGAGGGGGAGACTATCTTGAATTATCTGGATGGCCCAATGTACTCACAAGGGTCCTTATAAATGAAAGTGAGAACCAGGAGAAAGAGAGAGAGAGAGAATCAGTGATGTGATGTGAGAAAGTCCCTGCCTTTTCTGGCCTTGAAGGCCTGTGGACCACCAGTCAAAGGGCACAGGCAGACTCTAAATGCCAGAAAAGTCAAGAAAAGGAATTTTTCCCCAGAGCCTCCACAAAGGAACACAGTCCTGCTACTAGCTCGATTGTAGTGCAGTGAGAGCACTTTGAACTTGTGGCCTCCTCAATTATAAAATTATAAATTTGTGGTTTTAATCCACTATGTTTGTGGTTATTTGTCATGGCAGCAATTGGAAACTAATATACAGTTTTATCTCTAAAACTCACTGCGCTTAAAACCTAATTTCTGAAAACCAGATGAATTTGTCAATTTAAAAAGACACTAATTAAAACCTTATTAATTCAGAATACAGTAGAGGGAGGAATATGAATCAGTATTTAGTCCTTATTTCTCAGTAAGTACTCAGCACCACACTAGTTAAGGTGACAGCAGCTCCCAGCACCAATAAATGGAGTCTGAATAATGGAAATCTTAGTTTCAAACAATGACGACAGAAAAATATATATCGATAAGTAAAGAAAAATCAAGTTAATGTAAGTTATAGTTTATAATAATCTATTATATATTATGAACTCAAGAAAAACCAAAAAAGCCCTAAAACACATAGCAAAAGGGTTCTCAAATCAAAGACTAAGTCCAGCATGAAAGCAAGAAATTAGAATCATGTAAACTTCCCTGTTAACTGCCTGGAAAAAATGTGGTCCAGTGGCTACAACTTGGGCTCTAAATGGACAAAACTAGGTGCAAATTCTAGCTCCTCATTTAATTAGCTGTAAGAATTCCTACAAATTATTTAACCTGTCTGAGCCTCAGTTTTCTCACTATCAAATGCAGGTGATAATAGCTACCTCAGAGGGTGGCCATCAGTGCTAGTGGAGGGTAATTCTAGTAAGAGCTGGTAGGCAGTAGACAGTGGGCAGAACTCGTCTGCTTTTCTCCCTTCCCCATCCCTCCTTCCATCTACATGTCTTAGCTAGAAATGAACACTGGCAAAATGTTACGGAGAACAAAGGCAAAGGTAAGAAAAACACAAATAAACCAAATATGTTTTATAAAGTTAGTGTTTTGGATTAAGCTTACCCAAAGTATTACATTTGGATTTAGGTTTCTTCTCCTTCTTTTCAACTGGGGATTTGACCTTCACTTCTTTCTTTTTAATTTCTTTCACTTTATTTTTTCTCACAGTGAAGTCTTCATCATTATCTTCACTCTCACTAAAATCAGAGTCATCCTCGGACTCTTCACCTAAAACAAGAGGATTGCATATACTTGATCTTTGTTCTAAAAAGTGAGGCTTCCATGTATACCTGAAACTAACACAACATTGCTTGTCAATTTACTTCAATTAAACAAAAAATGGGCTTCTATGGCCTTGAATTTACAGCCTTTGCACTAGAGTCTTGCAGTCACTGAGGTCACCTGGGTTTGAATCCTGGCCCCTCGGCTCACACTTTGTGTGACCCTAGGGCGCTCACTTCACTCGGCTTAAGTTTTCTATCTATAAAATGAGGATCACCATAAAACCTACATCATAGGGTTGCTGTGTGGATTCAATGAGTTAATAGAGGCAAAGCCTTTAGAATGACATCTGGCAGACAACAAGCAAAACAGAATTGTTTGCTCTTACTATTATCATTATAGTTCCCATCAGTAATCTTTGCTTCCAATATTTCCAGTTTAATTCAGTGACTTTCAGAAAGAATGATAGGGTACAACGTTACCAACTCTTTCAAAACAATGACCTTGATGGTGATAGTAACATTATACCTTCCCTTAATCACGGAAACTTCAACATTCTAGCATAGAAACCCAATGGGAATCTAGAACAGACTAACCATACCACAACATCTTAACTTAGAATCCTACATATGATTTCATTTGGGCACACCTGTTATTTCCCACAAACCCTTCTCTGTACTGCGATGCTACAAGCCAGAGAAGTAATAGATTAAGGAGCTACAGCTGCTCTGGGAATAAGCACAAAGAATAGCTGATAATCAAGCAACGATTCTTCTATTTTGGGTGGGGGAGGGCCAAGGTGGGGGAGGGGGTCAGAAAACCATGTCTTGTAAATAATAAATTCTGAATGCTAAGTGTAAATAAGGATTATTAGTACTATATTCATAAAAACTTTACTTTTTTTTTTAATTATAAAAGCAGTATATGCTTATTGCAGGAAATGTAGACCACAACAAAAAAGTATTAAGGCAAAAGAAAATCTCCTAATCTCACCACTCAGAGATAACTGTTATGCCCACCACATATAATATCTACCTATCTGTAGGAAATATTTTATATAAAAATAAATATCCATAAAGTTTTTCAAGCATACACAACCTGAAACAGTAACACAGCACTCAGATTCAATATTCATCAATACTTTGCTACATCTGTTTCATCTCTCTCTCTCTCTCTCTCTCTCTCTCTCTCTCATCTTCTTCCTTCTCTTCTGGAAGTATGTTAAAATAAGTCTGAGGCATCAGGTCATTAAATTGTACATACTTCACACTGCATCTCTAGAAAACATGAGCTTTTTTTAAAAAAACACAACAATGTCATTATCATATCTTACAGTATCCACGATAGTTTCTTGGTATAATCTTCTATCCAGTCCACATTAACCACTTTTTTTTTAAGCCCCCAACATGGGGCCTTGAACTCATGACCCCAAAATCAAGACTTGAGCTGGGACCAAGAGTCGGACACTTAACTGACTGAGCCACCCAGGTACCGTTTAATCACTTTAAAATAGAGCTATTGAAGTAACCAAGTCAGTTGTCCTATAGAACTTCTGACATTCCGCATTTGTTGTCTGCTTTCTTCCTCATGGCGTTTTGCTTATTCTGTGAGCTGGAATTTTCTCAAGGCCCAATTAGAATCAGGCTCACCTTGTTATTTTTTTCTAAGAATGTACTTCATAAGAATGCTCTGTACTTCCTATTAGATCAGAAAGCATAGAACATATGGTTGTCCCCCTCTTGGTTGGCACAGTTGCTGCCAGCCTGAATTCTCATCGTGAAGATCCTCGTCAGCTTTCCATTGATGGCCTTTGCCTAAATTAACAATGTCATTATGATCTTCAAATTACTATTTCCTTATTCTGTCTTTCCATACAAATAAAAACTTAAAAACACATGAGAGTAATCAACCCACATATTCACATGATGATTACTGGGTTATATAATGCCAGCAGACCACACGAAGGCTGCTATATATAGTACTTTGAAAAATCAAATAATTGGGGCACCTGGGTGGCTCAGTCGGTTAAGTGTCCGACTTCAGCTCAGGTCATGATCTCACGGTCCATGAGTTCGAGCCCCACGTCGGGCTCTGTACTGAGGCTCAAAGCCTGTGCTCAGAGCCTGGAGCCTGCTTCGGATTCTGTGTCTTCCTTTCTCTCTGACCCTCCCCCGTTCATGCTCTGTCTCTCTCTGTCTCAAAAATAAATAAGGATTGAAAAAAAAGAAAAAAGAAAAATCAAATAATTATTTCTGGAGTCCCAAAAGGACCTAGGTTCAGGGAGGGCAAGTAGTGGAGTTTCTCCAAAGTTTCATAATATAGACTCTAGAAGGACAAAACTTCCTATGTATCCCACAGTTCTGGTAGTGCATGTGTTCTTTTCTTGGCCTGAGAGGATAAATGGTAGCAACTGGCTAAACTCTACTTATCAAACTTATCTAACAGTAAGGTCCAACTGACCATCATCAGTCAACAGAGAAAGCAGTTAAATCATCTGGTGGTGGTAAGTGGAACTCCCAGAATTCCAAGTCATTAGCATACCAAATTGGTGAAGCTGAAAGGCCCAAACAATGGGGTTACGGATTCTGTGAATCTTTAGATGTCCTTAAGAAAAGTCTATGTTCTCTCCAATTTTCATTTTTCTTTCCCTGCTGAAGGTCACAAATGATGCTTTCTCTTTTCATCTAACTACCATTCTATTTTGTTTCTATGAATTTGGCTATTTTAGATACCTCTTATAAGTGGAACCACCCACCATTTGTCTTTTGTGACTAGCTTATTTTGCTTAGCATAAAGTTTTCACGGTTCACCCAAGTTCACCCAAGTTGTAGCGCATGATAGGATTTCCTTCCCTTTGAATGCTGAAATTCTATTGTATGTATAGACCACATGGTGTTTATCCATTAAACTGTTGATGGGCACTTGAGTTGCTCACCCCTTAGCTACTGTGAATAACACTGCTATACATATGGGTGTGCAAATATCTGAGACCCTGCTTCAATTCTTTTGAATATATACCCAGAAGTGGGATTGCTAGATCACATGATACTTCTATTTTTAATGTTCTGAGGAGATGCCACCCTGCTTTCCATGGCGGAAATCCCACTAAGAGTGAACAAGGGTTCTAATTTCTCCACATCCTTACCACACTAGTTATTTTCTGTTTTTTTGACATCCTAATGGGTGTAAGATGACACCTCATTGGGATTTTGATTTGTATTTCCCTAATGATACTGATATTGAGCATCTTTTCATATGCTTTTTGGCCATTTGTGTTTTTGGAGATTTTAACAACTTCCTCTCAAAGGCATAGAGGCGACTTTAAAGTCACTATCCAAATTATAATCTCGATAAAAACTTACTTTTATGAAATTATTAGAGAGAGAATATATGAGGTTGGAATGCAAATAAGAGAATATTATTCTTTTTAAATTCTATCATACCTCTAGAAACATAACCCATTAATTACATAAACCCAGCAAACAAAGCAAGTGATTTCATTTCCACACAAACATTTTTAACCACTATTAAAGACAAATTAATTTCATTGGCATGTTAAGTAGGCTTGCAATTTATAACTTTAAAATTGTTGACTGATTTTTCTGACAAGCATGTGTCAAATAACGATACTGACATTCTGCAAGTGCTACAATCATATCCCCGAAGAAACAATTAAACTGACAAGGAGTTATTTTCTTATTTTGGGCTTTTTTTGTATTAAGTAACCTTAAGTTGGGAAACATTCAGTCCATGCTCTACTATGCTTCTTCAGGGCATTTTCTTTCCGTGGCTCCTACTTTCCGGTGCTCCAGTTACATCAGTGTTTCTCAAAGTAAGATCCCTAGACTGTCTGCTTTGGGATGACCCAGGTCATATAAAGGGGCAGGTACTGGTTCAAAAGGCTCTACTCTGTCTTCCTCTTCTACATAGCTCTTCTACGATGACACTTGATACATTCTACATTTCATTACTGTCTGTGTCCCCTCACTCGACTTTAAGCTTCTTAAGGGAGCTCTGTTTTGTTCACTGCTATATTTGTAGTGTCTTCAATATAATGTACATAACAGATACTCAAATATTTATAAAATGTTGATGAACAAATCCATTTGTCAATAGCATGTTAAAATCTATCAAAATATAGCATCCGATTTGGTACAAATTTATGGATTTATTCATTTTAATTTTTAATTAATATATTATGATGCTCTGTCCAGGTCACTATGCTTCCCATTTGTCCTAATTTCTGAATGAATCTGAAAAACAAAGTCACAAATAAAAATATAGGTTTCATATCACTTCATCCCCAAGATATTTCATGGATTTCTAGTATTATAGAAAGAAGTGTACACTTCTTAGAAAGTGACAGCCTGCCTCCTTAGCCTCTTCTAGAACATTCTCTGCCCCAGGCTTCCTGATCACTTTCTTCTATGTGTGCTTGTCTATGCCATTGTTGATGCTTTTTTCTATCAGTCAGGAACGCTATTTTACCCTTTTAGTTTGTGTAAATACTACTTATTTTTCAAGGTACAGCTTAAAGGTCACCTCCACATGAAGCTTTTTCCCCAAATGGCAGAGCTGGATGTAACTGTCCTGTAAGTTCAAGTTTGCATATACCAAACATTTAGCACAGTGCTTTGCATCCACTAATGGTCTTTAAGAACTTTTTACTGAATTTCCATAGGCTTAATTTGGAGGTAGGATATAACTCACCAGTTGCAAAGTCTGGTTCAGAGTCATTAGCACTATCGCCATCACTGCCTTCCAGAAGAATCTTCCTCTGTTGTACCATAGCCTTTGATGCTGCTTTTCTTTTCCCTTGAACACCAGGAAAATCATCTTCCTCAGTAATCTTATCCAAATCTTCAGGAGAGGCATAAAAACCAACAGAAAACTTTTTGTGACAGATAATATTGAAAGAACTGCAAAATAGACTTCTATAACATCCGCTGTTTTTATCTGCCCAGCTTCATTCCTCCGCTGCTTCTACTAGATCACATAGTCCAATCTTGGCACAACCATGATAAACGTCAGTATCCTGACAACAGAGTCCAGTTTAAGGATAAGTGTGAGACCCAACTGAGGAGGCTTTCCCCAAGAAATCTGAAAAGTGGAGCAGGGATGATGCAGCCCCTTTCTTCAGTGGTCAACAGCTATCAACTAGAAGCCACAGGTAGTCATGACCTTCCACCAGGGAAGAAAAGGAAAATTGGTCTGCAGTAAAAGAGAAAAAGACTAAAACACAAAGAAACAAAGGAGAGGAGGTGAAGAGAACCTTGACAAATTTAAATATCTTGGTTCTAGCTACAGTGTCAGGTATTGAAATAGAAGTTAGAAAAATAGCTTGTTGATAGAAAAAATTAGTATTATTATTAATATCAAAGCTTACCTAAATAATCGCTGGCTACACTGCAATTGGAGATATGAGGGGCCTTACTCATTGTTTCACTTCCACGACTGTCACATTTTTCAATGCCTAAAGATAAGGAAGAAGGAAAAAGATACAGATGCACCTTAGTCAATGGGTAGAAATAGGAAAACTGGTGTTCAAATGTAAAAGCATTCGGATACAGATGCATGATCCAAGCTCAAGCTAGTATGACTTACCTTGGAAAGGTCAGCATACGGTTTAGGAGTTGGGCTCTGAAATCAAACACACTTAGACTTAAGTTGAAATTCAGGCTCTACCCCTCCAACTGGCTACACGAGTATGGGAATATGGCTTATCCTAAGACTTAATGTCCTCATCTATATTGTGGAGAGAAAAAATAGAGCGTGGACTAATTAGGTGTATTGTGGGGGATCAAAGTGGGTCACATGTAGAAATTGCTTACTGTAGCGCCCAGCACATAGGAAACAGTCAATAAATACTAACTATCATTTCTGTGTAATAGATACATGCTTTTACTAACAAAGACTTTTCAATCATTATAATAACGTTAAAATGATCTAAAGTATTTCAAGAGGACTTTGAGTCATGGTAACTGTACTATTAAATCCCAGTGCTATAAAGTATATTAATCTATGAGAAGTGGTACTTCCAAGGAAATCCTGCTATATATTCTACCAGCTCTTACAGGAGAGAGATGAGTTCCATTTTCTCAGTTTTGGATATAAGATAATTCTGTTTCTTTGATTTCCTGATTAGTAAATGGCTCCCTAATCAATCAACAGTGTTTTATTTACTGTCAAATAGGAGGCAATAATGACTGAAACATCTATACCCCTAAATGAGCTAATGAGTTAAAAATATCCTCCAACATAAAAGAAGCTAAGTCAAAACAATTTCATCCAAAAAGCATGCTAACAGTTTGAATGTCTTTTCCAAGAATAATGATTTCTGCCTCTCCAGAGTATCAATATTGCCATCTGCTACACAGTTGCTAGAAAAATCGAAGGAGGAAAACCCAGAGAAATCCAGAAGTCCTACATCTTGTAAGTCCACTGAGCCTGCTAACCAAACTAGTACCTTCAGCCTTCGTAAATAATAAAAATTACCCTCACCAGATCATGTTTAACTAATTTGAATTTTGAGAGAAAAGAGATGGGTTATTAGGACTGTATAGACCAATTCATTTGCTTAAGAAATTAAATTTCCACTGTAAACAAAAGTGACTTGCATCCAAGCTCATAGTCCATGACTTAGTCCAGAGCTGGCATCAGGTGTTAAGCAGAGAGATGTGTGTGCATGAACGACATTCATGCAGAATAAAGCACGGAATCTAATTATGCCAGTTGCTCCATTTGCTATCCAAAGTATTAAACTCTTATTGTTTCCTCTATGAAGGCTCATCCGGAGACACAATTACAAAAGCAATGAGGTTACAAAAAGAAATATATAGAAAGTAAAGTTACTTTTATCTTGAGCCTCTTCCGCATCAGTGGTGACTGTTGGAAGTTCCTTCACTGATAAAGCAAGTGCGACTTCTAAGTCTCGCTGGTAGAGCTTGTCATCTAAAGCTATCCTAAAGGGAGGCAAAAAAATAAAAATGAGTTTTTAAAAATATCAATCTCAACCAAACAGCAAAATGAGATTTTTCTGAATCACTATTTAAGAGCTGCTAACCTCACAAAAATGTTTTCTAAACAGTAATCGTGATCATAACTGACTTTAATGGTTAAGACTGCTAATGTGAAGTAATGTCATGTTACAGGTGCATACGAGATTGAAAGAGCAGCAGTCTGTGCTGTTGTACGTATTGCCTCCTTTCAGGGTAATGCCAGTCCTTGTTACCAATGCCAAGCGCCTGCTCAACCTAGAATAAAGACTTTCCTCAAAAATCCACTTAGAAATCTTCCTTGACCTCACTCACACCTCCTTAGACAGGTATTATAGCTCTTTTATTAAACTGTTCCTCCCAATCTAGACTTTAACAAAAATGTCACCAAGTACTTACTGTGTATGAGGCACTGCACTAAATAGAATACTAAAAGTACCCTGAAGGAGTCTGCAATTAATGAGGAGGGCAGGGAAATAAGACGTACTGATAATTTTCCTATATGAGCAGATTATTATGTCTCCTATTAAAGGTGGTCAGAGTGTTAGGGTGTGTAAGAAAAGAAATTAAAGACAGATTTAAGAAAAAAGTTATATAAAGGACGAAATACTGAGATGCACCTTGAAGGATTTATTTTTTAAAAATAAGTTTTATTGAGATATAATTCACACAGCATTAAACTCACCCTTTTAAATTGTACAATTCAGCAGTCTTTAAGTATATTCAGAGTTTAGAAACCATCACCACTACCTACTTTCAGAATATTTTCATCACCCCCAAAGAGACCCTATATCCATTAGCAGTCACTCCCTGCTTACCCGCCCCTAGCACCTGGCAACACTAATCTACTTCCTGTTTCTATGGACTCACCTATTTTAGACATCTCAAGTCAATGGAATCATACATGCGGCCTTTTATGTCTGGCTTCTTTTGCTCAGCATGTTTTCAAGGTTCATCCATGTTGTAGCATGTATTAGTACTTCTTTTTACTGCTGAATGATATTCCAGTGTATAGACAGACCACATTTTATTTATCCACTCATGAGTTGGACAGACATTTGGACTGCTACCATTTTCTGGCTATTGTGAATAATGCTGTGAAGCTTTGTGTCCAAGTTTTTGTGTGGGTGTGTGTTTTCATTTCTCTTGAGTACACACCTAGGCAGGGTCATAAAATAACCCCATGTTCAACATTTTGAGGAACTGCTACTCTGCTTTCCAATGTGGCTGTACCATTTTACATTCCCAGCAACAATGTACGAGAATTCCAGTTTCTCCACATCCTCATTAACATTGGTTATTGTCTGTCTTTTTGTTTATGGCCATCCCAAAGGGTGTGAAGTATTATCTCACCATGGTTTTGATTTGCATTTCCTTGATGGCTAAGGATGCTGAGCATCTTTTATGTGCTTATTATTAATTTGGAGATGTTCTTTGGAGAAATGTCTACTCAAATCCTTTGCCCATTTTGTAAATTGAGTTATTAATCTATTTACTGTTGAATTGTAAGACTTCTTTATATGTTCTGAATACAAATCCTTCATCAATTATATGATTTGCAAATATTCTCTCTCATTTGTAGGTGTTTTGTTTTTTTTTTTTTTTCCACCGTACTTAAACCTAGCACAAGAATCTCAAAACCAAAAACAAAAAAAGAGAAAAAAGTAAAGAGCAGGACATGGGGTAACTTTCTCTGTGTTAATGAGCTTTTCTCCAGCTTGCAGCAGTGAACCACACCATCCCCCATGTTCCATTTGTTAATAGTCCCCTTCTGCCAATCTCCTCTCCATACTTCAGGTTTGGGGCCTCTCAGGACTTCCTTCCCTCATTCTCTCTTCTCTCTTGGAACTAGTGGAAATCCAGAATTCGTCTAGAAACTATAGGACCTTTTCAGTGCTGGACCAGTCTAAACAATATAAAGAAAAAATATCTTTTATCTGCAGAAAAATACATGGTTTCAATTTTTATAAAACTATCTTTACAGATTGTAATTTTAAACAAAGTAGTCTTGTAAGACTTGAAGACTTTAGAGATAGAAATACAGTCCTATAAAGTAAGCTGTACCTCCTAAACTTTGTAATTGTCTTTAATGATTGTCTTAATACTTAAATGAATATTTCCTAACATGTTTGTGAATTTCTTTTTTAAGGCAGAAAGTCAGAAGGGGATTAATGGTACATCCCTGTTCTCCTACATGCACTAAATAAAATAATACCTACGACTGGGCTCAAGTTCTAATTTAAATAAAGAGTTCAAGGGACGCCCAGGGGGCTCAGTCGGTTAAGTGTCTGACATTGGCTCAGGTCACGATCTCGTGGCTGGTGGGTTTGAGCCCCATGTCGGGCTCTGTGCTGGCAGCTCAGAGCCTGAAGCCTGCTTGACGTTCTGTGTCTCACTCTCTCTCTGCTCCTCCTCTGCTCATGCTTTGTCTCTCTCTCTCTCTCTCTCTCTCAAATAAATAAATAAGCATTAAAAAAAATTAAACCAAGAGTTCAAATTTGTCCCTCTTTTAAGTTAACACATTGAATGTATATTTACTGTATGTCTTACCTCTCACCTTTTTTTAGGGGTTTTCTCTTGCAATGGGATACCTTCTTTCTGGAGATTCTTCAGTTTAGGTTTCCTTGTTTCTAGTTTTAACTCCTTTGGTGTTGTTCTGGGTTTTTTATTTAAAGGTGCAGTTGCAGAAATAAAGTCATCTATTCGTGTGTGAATCAAAAATAAAAGCATATATAAAAAATAAATTAATTAAACAAAATAAAATATGAAACTGCTTTTCCTAAGAAATAAAAACATTTTCTTAGCAGCTGAAATTCACTACAATGTGTGTTCAAGGTTTAAACGTTAAGAAAGTTGTTTAATTGCCATCATTTAAAAAATGTTGGCGTATTATTTGTCTTTATTCTCACTCATGCTTTTCAACTTTGTTTTAGTGGCCTTTGTTTATTAATATAGAAGTCTATCAAAAGCCAATTCACTACAAAATGTGATCTAGTTCCATTGACACTCAACATAAACCTGCTGTGGTAGTTTTTTTTTTATGTTTATTTATTTCTGAGACAGAGACAGCATGACTGGGGGAGGGGCAGAGAGAGAGGGAGACACAGAATCAGAAGCAGGCTCCGGGCTCTGAGCTGTCAGCACACGGCCTGACGCAGGGCTTGAACTCAAGAGCTGTGAGATCATGACCTGAGCCGAAGTCAGATACTCAACCGACAGAGCCACCCAGGCGCCCCCTTGCTGCGATAGTTTTTACACACATGTGCAGCACATGGATGAATACCCTCAGGGTACACGTAGTCTTGATTGCAGCGTTAGCATTTATTAATACATGTTGTCTCTGCCAAGTTTCCCCATGTTGGAATATGTTAACTTGTGACTTACCCCCACATCCACCCCATAATGTCTAGAACACTACTGTCAATTTATAAATATTTGGTGACATACTGATAACAGTAATAAAAAGCTACAGGTCAGAGTCTACACTATTTTCTCCCAAGTCTTAGACACATTTACAGTTGAGCCCAATGCAAAAAACTGGTTCCTTCAAACCTCTGGATAACTGAACATTTGACTCACAGAAAGCTCTGAGAAATACAAAACCTATTTCGAAATATGATGTAATCTAACTAAATGTTTCTCACACTTTTTGACCAAAGTTTCCTTAACAGCAGAGACAAAGAAATATATAACCCAATAGACTATAGCCTATGCCCAACCTTTCTTCAAGGTCTTGTTTTTGTTTCTTTTTTCCTTTCCAAGTTTTTATTTAAATTCCTGTTAACACACAGTGTAATATTAATTTATTAGTTTCAGGTGTACAATTTAGTGACTCTACACTTACATACAACACACAGTACTCATCACAAGTGGCACCCTCCTTAATTCCCACCACTTATTTAACTTACCCCCCCTCCACTTCCTTCTATAATCATCAGTTCTCTATAGTTAAGACTCAGTTTCTTGGTTTGCCTCTCTTCCCCCATCCCATGTTCATTTTGCTTCTTAAATTTCACCTGTGAGTGAAATCATATGGTCTTTGTCTTTCTCTGACTGACTTATTTCACTTATCCTCTAGCTCCATCCACATTGTTGCCAATGGTAAGATTTCACTCTTTTTTATGGCTGAGTAATATACGATCTAGCAATTGCACTACTCGGTATTTACCCAAAGGATACAATAATACTAATTGGAAGGGACACATGCACCCCAATTTTTATAACAACATTATTTACAATAGCCAAACTATGGAAAGCACCAAATGTCTATCGACGGATGACTGGATAAAGAAGTGGTATAGAAGGTTGGGGCGCCTGGGTGGCACAGTTGGTTGCGCGTCCAACTTCGGCTCAGGTCATGATCTCACAGTTCGTGAGTTCGAGCCCTGCGTCAGGCTCTGTGGTGACAGCTCAGAGCCTGCAGCCTGCTTCAGATTCTGTGTCTCCCCCCTCTCTGACCCTCCCCGCTCACACTCTCTCTCTCTCACTCAAAAATAAATAAACATTAAAAAGAAAAAAAAAGTGGTATCGAAGGTCTCATTTTATTGTACAGTTAATGAGGATTTCACATTATATTCTGTAACACATTTGTGTTTCAAAAGACAATGTGTTCCTTCTTAGGGAAAGAGATAGGAGGAAACAAACCACACTATGAGAAACATGGACCTAGAGTAGTTTAGATCTAAAGAGCCATTTCACTAGGTCCTGTTCATTTATCACTTACCTACATAATTCTTGTCAGTGTAATTATCAGTAGAATTATCCCAAATGCTTAGAAAATTACTTTTGCAGCCCTAGCTCATATACAATTGGGTAATATGTTCAATATTAGAGTTCTATATGTCATATGAATTCTGAGAAAATAAATTTCCAAGTTTTTAAAGCAAAAATATGAATCTCTACTTACCATCACTGTCAGAGTCCTCAAACTGTGAGTAATTGACCGATTTCTTATGCCTATGAGCAAGACAATTTTTTAATTACACAAATGCCAATTTCCCACCTCTAATCCTTAAGACCATTGACAGTCTGAGTAAATGAAAATGTGTTTCGATTCTCTTAAGAGTACTTAAACTTGACAGGGCACCTGGGTGGCTCAGTCAGTTGAGCAACCGACTTTGGGTCTGGTCATGATCTCATGGTTCATTAGTTCAAGCCCCGCATCGGGGTCTGTGCTGACAGCTCAGAACCTGGAGCCTGCTTCTGATTCTTTGTCTCCCTCATTCTCTGCCCCTCCCCAACTGATCATGCTCTTTGTCTCTCTTTCTCAAAAATAAACATTAAAAAAATTTTTTTTAAAAAGAAGTTGGATTTTACAGTAGGGACTTAGCATTAGCTAAAATAGTTATAACTATACTTGATATACCTGATAAGGAAAAAAAATAATTCAGATAACCCTCAAAGTAAAAATAATATCATTAGCACAATTTATATACCGTTTAATTGCTGTGGGGCATTTATAAGTTCCTGTTGTATTTATTCTTTTGTTTTATATATGCATTGTCTTCTTACTAGATTATAAACTTGACACTTAAAGATATTTTCTCTCTCTTTTTAATCTCCCCACAATACTAAATAATATTCTTTATGCAACGGACGTTGAAACAATGGTGACTTTGTACCTACCACCTCAAATGTATCTTCATACTACTTTAGAAAACCATTAGAAGAAAGTGATATTCAAAGTGAAAAAAAAAATAAATTCACTTTCTTCCTTCTTCCTCTAAGCACTAAATGAAATGGCCTTGTAGTTTTCTTTTCTACCTTCCACCAAACACCCAAGTGTGAATAACCTAGTAGGTCAGTTGTTCTTTCAAGGAAAATGGGTATTCTACGAAAAAGAGGTCAGGTCAGCTCCCAACTCAAACAATCTCACAAGTGCTTTGCCTGAAGACAACCACCATAGAAGTACTTTATGTATGTATTTCATTTCCTCATGTAGAATATTAAAATGAAGAATACTCTTGTTATTCTCCTACTCTTTGGAGTTAACGAATTTTAAAAGCTGAATAAAATATGAAAGCCTCTTTAGAAATTCTGAAACTGAGTCATAGTAAAAATAAAAACTCTTAAAAAAAGAATATGCTCAGTAATTGAGCTACAGTGAGGATGACAATTTTTACTGCTTCATCAAGCACATTCTTAAGTGAAACTGGTATTTTTTTTTTTTGTACCCTGAATGTGCAGCAGGAAAGAATACAATGACACTTGTGCAATATGGTGCCACTGCCTTGATTCATGCTAAGGTGTCAGCAGTTACACCACCATTGCAGTGCAGATGATAGAACAATGAAAAAAGTGAGCAATGTCTTAGGATTATTGTGAAAATAGTTTTGACCTCATGGGCCTCCTCAGAGGGCCTCAGGGAACCCTGGGGGTCTTCAGACCATACTTTGACAACTGCTGTTCCAGACAAAGGGATTATGTCCTCGCTACTTGGGTGGACATACTGAAAATCCATTTCAGACTTCATACGTTCAAAATGGAACTCCTGATCCCCCACACCTCCTGAACCTGTTCCCTTTCCTAGTCTTCCTCATCTTGGTTAGTACAAAGACCGACCATTCAGCAGCTCAGGCCAAAAACACTGTGAAATCATCCTTTTTTCCCCTTAACCTCCACATCTATTCCATCAGCAAGTTCTGTCAGCAGTATCTCCAACATATACCCCAAATCCATCTATCCCATTCCATGTCCAATGATAACATCCTACTCCAAACCGCTAATGATGCAGTGGTTTCCTTGTTGCCATTCTGGTCACCTTATCTCCCATTCTTTCTCCACCAGCAGCCAGTGAACTTTATAAAACCAAAATTAGATTTTCCTGCCCTATCTAAAACTCTCTGTTGACTTCCCATTGTTCGTAGAATACAATCCAAACTCCTTTTTAAAGCCTGCAAGGTCCTACCTACTCTGGCCTCTGCCTATTTCTCTGCCTTAATCCCCTACAAGTCTCCCCACTGCTTGTTTATGCTACAGCTTTAGAGGCCTTCTTTCTCTTCCTCAAACAAAGTCAAGCTCAGGGCCTTGGCTTTTGTCCCCTCTACATGGATTGCCCCTGATTTTCGCTGGCTAGCTCTTTCTCATCACTCATGTCTCAGATCATGTATTATCTCCACAAAGAGGCACATCCTAACTACAGTACTTACAGAAAGACTTTCCTCCTTCTCACTATCACTTTGCGGTATTTGTGGCCCCCTACCCTCACCCCTGTAACCTCCCACACCTAGTGGGATATATTAATCCTTATTACAATAACTTTCTAAATGAATGGCTGACTGTAGGCCTCCATAGCACTCCACTGTGGTTAAGTAGAGCAATAGTTTCAAATAGCATAATGGAAAACACAGAGGCTCTGGAACCAGTACGATTTAGGTTTGAGCGTTATCCTGCCACTCACTAGCTGTGTGACTCCGTTAACTTGGCCTTTATGCCTGGGAGTTTAAATCGATAAAACAGGAATATCTAGACTGCTATATCAAAGAGCTATAGTGATAAAATAAATAAGTAACACGTGAGGAGGAGATGGTTGAAATGTAAAGCGCTGTTCGAATGCTAACAGACCAAAGGCTTATTTAAATGGCTGGGTGGGGGGCAGTAAAAGAATCGGCAAAGGAAGGCATAGAAGGATAAAGGTAGGATGCTAGGATACTGCTGTGGAATGGGCGGCTCTCAGTGGAGGCTGGAGAGCTCCACAGAAACCGTCCATCCCACCTTCGCTACCCACCGTCCTATTCGGCCCTTTCCCGTCAATCGTGTGCACGCCAAGTTGCCTACGGCGTCTTCCTGCTTCTTCCCATCCCCGCAGATGTCATGAACTACCCACCTCACAGGCCGCACCATGGCCCCCTCCAAGGCTGAAAGTGCAGCTTTCAAATTCTTGTTGGCAGCAGTGGCTGTTTCAATTCCCGCCCAAAACCAGACACTAGAGCTCTCCGCCCCCTGCCACCAGCCCTCCAATGATTACCAGCCATCCTTGCTGCGGCGCATGCGCACTGAGAAGACCTGCTGGCTCTCGCAGTTCCCAAGATATTGCCCTTCCGCATCCGGTCTACCAAAGCGGAGCACAAGCTTTGCCAATGCACTTTCGTCACGACAGTGGATTTTTTTTTTTTTTTTGAGCCTTCTCTGAAATTCACAATAATAGTAGAAATACGCTTTTTTACATTTTTAAATGGTTAAATTGAAGCGATATGGGAAAATGGGGCACTTAGACCTGGAATTTTCTATAGAGTGTCGAGGAAGAGGAAAAGGTATGGACGAATCTGCTCATGCAGATCTGCTGGCTGTAAAAACAGGTCTGTAAGTCAGCTGATGTTGCCGGCGCCCCAGCTCGTTGATATCTCCGGTGTGTGGACTGTTCGGGAGTTAGGCACTAGGGTAGGTGAGCCCACACAAAGAGGGAGGGACGGAAAGTGTTCAGACTGAAAGCGGCTAATGAAGAGGGTGTTTTCCTTACTCGTCTGGAGCTTCTGGTGCCCACAGCCCCTTCCTTTCCCTAATTTGAGCCTCAGAACCTCCACTCTGGCGGCAGGAGTTCGGTCCAGCCCACATTTTCCCATTTCAGTTTTGCCTCGGAAGCCTTCCTTAGTTTCACCCCTGATTTAAAAAAAAATTTTTAAGTGAGGAAAGAGAACTAAATTATCGGTTTGTTGAAACATAATGAGTTTAAATGTTGAGCCGATTGATACCAGAGCTAATGGTTTTTGTTTACCGAAAATATTGAATTTAAATAAGATTAGGCCGTAAACCTATTTCTGTAACTTTCAGTTCCCTGCTACAGTGTTCCTTCCCTCTTTGTCTTCATCGTGTGTATTCAGTTAGCAACCTGTGTTTGTTTGTTTTTTTTATTAACATGCTCGTGAAGAATTTCTTTTATTATTACTAGTTTTCATCTGCTGATCATCCTATGTTTATCAGATGCTTCGTATTTATTGTTAGATTAATCCTTATAATCTACGAATTAAAAGCCTCCTCAGTGCCTAAGATGAGATCTGAAGAATGATTAGTTGTTATCCAAGGAAAGAAAAGCGGTAAGAGTGCTCTGGTGTCACTTTTTCCACTTCAAAAAGGTTGGAAGTGGAAGGAGAGGTTTAGTATTGAAAGGAGTTCAGTATGACTGGAAAATTGTGAATTTGTGTGTTGGTGAGGAGGGGTACAGGTGCTGGGAGAAAAAGTCTGGAGATATAAGCAGAGACATGGTAAACTGGATTAAGGAGTTTGCATTTTTTAATGTAATTATTTATTTTGAGAGCGACCATGCGAGTGGAGTAGGAGTAGAGAGAGGGGGGAGAAAGAATCCCAAGCAGGGTCCTCGCTATCTGCAGAGAACCCTTGGGTGGTAGGACTTGATCCTGGGAACAGGGAGATCATGGTCTGAGCGAAAACTAAGAGCTGCTCCCCCGAGTGAGCTACCCAGGCGCCCCAAAGAGTTTGAATTTTATCCTGAGAGCAATAGAATATGATCAAAGGGTGTTAAGCAGATGAGCAACACAATCAGATAGGCGCTTTGGAAAAATTACTGTAACTTTAGCATAGAGATAGTGTGAAAATTGTTCTGATGGTGAATAGCCTAGAGATAGGGAGCCTAGTAAGGAGGCTGATAAATAAATCTTTAATTGGTGTTGATTTTTGGCCAGATTTTCTTCTTTTTGAAAAGTGTCCAGTTTGCCTTTTGGGATGTCCTGTACCTTTTTTTTTTTTTTTTTTTTGTATGTCTTTTCTACATGGAAATCTTTGCAACACCATCTTTCTTCTATGTCCAATAAGATCACATATCTAAGATCTTCAAGATCACTTCTTAGTCCCTGATCTATTTCTTTGACTTGGTATTCCCCATTGTTTCATAAGCTCTCTGTCTACCCATTCATCTCTTTCTAAGCATCTTCTCTGCTCTTCTCTCCATGTTCTTCCCTTATTCTTGAGAACCCTGCCTCAGAATGAAAAATATTTTATTGGCATAATGGTTTTATCCCCCTAAGTGAAGTTTAAAAGGAGCTTTTTTCCTTAAAAAAAAAAAATCATTTTCTTCATGAAGATGAAAATGCAGGAATAAAGGTAGGAAAACCTAGAATAATAAGCTCCAAGTAACACAAACATAATTAGTGAGTGGTGGAATATTTTCTTAGAGGTAGTACGATATAATGAAACATGATTTTTGTGATTTACAATCTGATGGATTTTGGTTTGTTTGTTCTATAGAAACCCTGCGAAAGAAGATGAAGAAAACCAGAGAAAGAGTCTACAACAGAGAGAGGGAATTTGTGTATAAATTCAAAGTAGGAACTCAATGCTTAGAACTGAGGGTACCTCTCAAATTTCCTGTTCAAGAGAATGCGAGTCATTTACATGGACGTCTGATGCTGCTGCACAGTTTACCATGCTTTATAGAAAAAGGTGAGGACTGATTTTTGTAATAAAACTTTATTTTCCTATTATCTCTTTCCTTTGACATTTCATATTAGAAAGAATAAGCCTGAGAAGCTTGAAACCGCAATAAAATATGAAGTGTTTAACTGCTTCCAAGAATAAGAATATTCCCCAGATCTTTGTTTTATTGTTTTTTTCTGTACCCCTTGAGTTGTTTAAAAGGCAGTTTAGTATAAAAATTAATTTACAGGGGTGTCTGGATGGTTCAGTCTGTTGAGTGTCCAGCTTTGTCTCAGGTCATGATCTCAGGTCATGATCTTGCGATTGGTGAGTTCTGGCCCCTCATCGGGCTCTGTGCTAACAGCTCAGAGCCTGGAGCCTGCTTCAGATTCTGTGTCTCCTTCTGTCTCTGCCCCTCCCCTGCTCATGCCATGTCTCTCTCTCTCTAAAATAAATAAATATTTTAAAAAATTAAGGGGCACCTGTGTAGCTCAGTCTCTTAAGCATCCGACTTCGGCTTAGGTCATGATCTCAGGGTTCATGAGTTAATAAAGCCCTGCGTCGGGCTCTGTGCTGACAGTGTGGAGCCTGAGCCTGCTTCAGATTCTGTGTCTCCCTCTCTCTCTGCACCTCTCCTTGCTTGCTCTCTCTGTCCCTCTCTATTTCTGTCAAAAATAAAACATTAAACATTTTTTCTTAATTAAAAAAAATAATATAATGAAAACTCAGTTACAAAGTCTGGGTTAGAATGCTTAACATCTTAATTTAGTTGGGTGGATTCATTTCAGCTATCCCTGATTATAATATAGAACTGTATTCCCAAATGCATTGCCCTTTTAATTATCTGGTCCTCAGTTCCTGAGATGTCATGGGAGAGAAGATATACTAATCTTTGAATAATTTGTACTTACCTAAATTAATCCCATAGCCATCGGTATTAAACCATTTTAAAAGGTCTGTGTTCTACCTCACAGATGAGGAAAAAATTTTAAATTGAGAATATGTTGAATCATGAAAAGTTAGACTTAAAAGGAAACCTAGGAACTATCTAGCACAGGCTCATTGTACAAATAAGGAATCTGGTGCATTGAAATGTTAAATTGTTTGCCTAAGGCAGTAGTTCTCAAAAGCTGTTACCTGATCAGAATCTACAGCATCACCTGGAACCTTGTTACAAATGCACATTCTTGGGCCTCACCCCATTCTTGTAGAATCAGACACTCTGGGGGTGGCATGCAGCAGTCTATTTCAGTAAGCCCTCCAGGGAATTCTGATGCATGCTAAAAATTGAGAACCACTGGTCTACAGTTACAAACGTAATGACAGAGTCAAGACCAGAACACAGGTATCCTGATTTCTATCCCTGTTCCGTTTCCATTGTATTATCTCTAAGTAGTGTCTCTAAAATTGAAATTACAGATCATCCCAATTAAATTAGTTTTAATATGCTAATCATTCAATTTCTCTTTCAAATAATATAACTATATAGGATATAAATGTTTTTCATTTAAATACAGTAGCCTTCAGACCCTCAAAATCTGTAGATTTTCCTTTATATGCTTTTACCTGCTTGGTTTCAGATGCAAGCTTGATAAAAGAAAATTTCATGTTGGAACACCTAACCAAGTAAAATGTTCCCTGTTCATGTCTGGATTTTGCTTATGTTGGTATTTTTTGTCCATGTTGCAGACTTAAAAGAAGCTCTGAGCCAGTTTATAGAAGAAGAATCCCTCAGAGATTATGATAGAGATGCTGAAGCATCCCTGGAAGCTGTGAAATCAGGTGAAGTTGATTTACATCAGCTGGCCAGTACGTGGGCCAAAGCTTATGCTGAGGTGAGAAAATAGATCAGATTGCAAATTTCAGGGATTATCTGGACTTTGATGAAGATTATTAAATTGCTAAAGTAATACTGAAACAATTGTAGAATCCTTTTATCTCTACATACAACACTTTATTTCATAATGTACAATATAAATTGATGGTCATGTGCCTCTTCTCTGTATCAGGTGAGCACTTTTGACACAATACTTTATGTAATGCCTTTGTAAAAGAGGAACTACTTTTGTATTTCTAACCAGCACAGGGTTGGCAGAGTTAGTGATTAAAAATACAGGGCACTCACATGTTCATAGATGGATGAATGGATAAAGAAGATGTGGTATATGTGTGTAATGGAGTATTACATGGCAGTGAAAAAGAACGAAATCTTGCCATTTGCAACTACATGGATGGAACTAGAGGGTATTATGCTAAGCAAAATTAGAGAGAGACAAATATCATATGACTTCACTTGTATGAGGAATTTAAGATACAAAACAGATGAATATAAGGGAAGAGAAGCAAAAATAATATAAAAACAGGAAGGGGGACAAAACATAAGACACTCTTAAATATGGAGAAACAAACAGGGTTACTGGAGGGGTTGTGGGAGGGGGAATGGGCTAAATGGATAAGGGGCGTTAAGGAATCTACTCCTGAAATCATTGTTGCACTATATGCCAACTTGTAAATTTTAAAAGAATAAATTAAAAAAAATATAGGGCACCCAATTAAATCAGAATCTCAAAGAATGAATTATTTTTTAGTATAATCCCATTAATATATGGAACATACTTACAGTAAAATTTATTCTTTGCTTATCTGAAATTCTAATTTAACAGAGGTAACCTGTATTTTATCTGGCAACCTTAAACTAACAGGGGTAGCTCATTTTAAGCTTTGATTTACTTTTTTTTTTTAAGCTTTGATTTACTTTTGTCTTTTCATTTATCCTCACTGTTGTGTTACATAACGTCATCATTTTCCATTTAAATAATATATCTTATTTTCATAAAGTCTTAAGATGCCACGGATCATAGCACGCACTATTATCTTCTTTACTACTGAGAAAGAACACCAGGACCACTTACACTATGATAGGGTAACAACATACCATCAGTGCAAGATGCATTCTGATTTCTGAGAGTGGTAATATGAACCACTTGGAGTTCCAAGTTGGAGTTGATGAGGTATAGTATGTTGAGAACCTACCCTGTGCCAGGTGCTGTGCCAGGTGCTGTGCCAGCTATCAGACATAAAACAGTGCACAAGGCAGACACAAAATGAAATTTCTGTTCTAGTTAGAGAGCCAGAAACAACTATGTATATAGATAAATTCAATAATTGTAAAGTATAATGAGTGAATTACATCCCAGTGTAAGTAAGGTGGTCTATGAGAATTTGAAAATCAGTTTTATGGGGTCATGTTTTGTTACTCAAACCAGTTTGCTTCATGCCCATTATGGTGTCCTAATTTACTTAAAAGATGACGCTATTTACATGTATTATTTTAAATGTTAAGAATTGTTCCATTAAAAAAATATATGCAGGGGCGCCTGGGTGGCTCAGTCGGTTAAGCGGCCGACTTCGGCTCAGGTCATGATCTCGCGGTCCGGGAGTTCAAGCCCCGCGTCGGGCTCTGTGCTGACAGTTCAGAGCCTGGAGCCTGTTTCAGATTCTGTGTCTCCCTCTCTCTCTGTGACCCTCCCCCGTTCATGCTCTGTCTCTCTCTGTCTCAAAAATAAATAAACGTTAAAAAAAATATTTTTTAAATAAAAAATAAAAAGATATGCATGTAATAAGTATTATTTATTTTTAAAATTTTTTTTCAACGTTTATTTATTTTTGGGACAGAGAGAGACAGAGCATGAACGGGAGAGGGGCAGAGAGAGAGGGAGACACAGAATCGGAAACAGGCTCCAGGCTCTGAGCCATCAGTCCAGAGCCTGACGCGGGGCTCGAACTCACGGACCGCGAGATCGTGACCTGGCTGAAGTCGGACGCTTAACTGACTGCGCCACCCAGGCGCCCCAGTAATAAGTATTATTTAAAGAAACCTAATCTTTCTGCTGATGAAAGGATAAAGCTGTAAGGTGTATTAAAAGAGTAATTCTGGGGGCGCCTGGGTGGCTCAGTCAGTTGGGTGTCCAGCTTCAGCTGAGATCATGATCTCATTGTTTGTGAGTTTGAGTCCCACGTTGGACTCTATGCTGACAGTTCAGAGCCTGGAGCCTGTTTCAGATTCTGTGTCTCCCTCCCTTTCTGCCCCTCCTCCACTCACACTCTGTCTCTCTGTCTCAAAAATAAATATTAAAAAAAATTTTTTTTAGAGAATAATTTCGGGGCGCTTGGGTGGCTCAGTCAGTTAAGTGTCCAACTTCAACTTAGGTCATGATCTCGCAGTTTGTGGGTCCAAGCCCCGCATCGGGCTCTGTGCTGACAGTTTGGAGCCTGGAGCCTGCTTCAGGTTATGTGACCCTCTCTCTCTGCCTCTCCCTCGCTTGCATGCTCTCTTTCTCTCTCTCTCTCTCTCAAAAAAAAGATAAACATTTAAAAAAAAACTTTTAAGGAAAAAAAGAAATAAAAAGAGTAGTCCCACTAAACTTGTTCAAGCTGTATTTTTTGTATGTCTGAAATGTGTTGGATATACAGCTGAGGATAAGTCTTTGCCTTCAAGGACCTTACAATCTAGTAAGAAGAGACAAAGAAATCTCTAGCCTATAACACTGTGCAGTCAGTGTTAGGATAAATACTGTGAGAGCATGTGTGGAAGTTAGGGGAGGAATGAGTGGTCAAGAGTTCTTGAAGAAAGCAGTCAATCTCTCCACTAGGATTACTATTGGTTTGATACAAAATCTGGAAGCAGATCCTCTTCTATCCCTGATTTTGTGTAACTAAAGAGAAAACTTCCCAATAGTCAGTCAATAGGCTTATGTGTTGAAGTTTATCTTACTATTTTTTTAAAGTTTATTTTTATTTATTTTGAGAGAGAGGGAGAGAGCATGATTGGTGGAGGGGCAGAGAGGGAGAGAGAATCCTAAGCAGGCTCTGTGCTATCAACGTGGAGCCTGAGGCAGGGCTCAGTGCCATGAACTGTGAGATCCTGACTTGAACTGAAATTGAGAGTCAGACACTTAACCGACTGAGCCACTTCGGTGCCCTGAAATTTATATTACTATTTTTAAAAATTACCATATTTACTAATTTATGGTTTAATCTTATTCTTCTGCACATTAGCCATTCTAAAAACAGGAATTTGACTATCTTCCAGGTGAATGATCATAACAACAGTAATATTAATATAAGAAAATAAGAACAGTTTATACTGACTCATTTAATCACAAGAGTTCAGATTTACATTGAATTAAAATCAACAAGCCTCAACTGAGCAAGTACTCTGTTCTCCCCCTGTGCAAATTGAGTAGATACCTAGCACCTCTTGTCATATAGAGTTCAGCTTTCTAGCAATGCCAAACTTCCAGAAGTATAGTTGCTTGTTTTTATTTTTAATTTTAATTTTTATTTTTTTTATGTTTATTTTTGAGAGAGGGAGTGTGTGAGCAGGGAAGGAGCAAAGTGAGAGAGAGACACAATCTGAAGCAGGCTCCAGGCTCTGAGCTGTCAGCACAGAGCCTGACCACAGGGCTCAAACCCACGAACTGTGAGATCATGACCTGAGCCAAAGTAGGATGCTTAACTGACTGAGCTACCCAGGCGCCCCTGTTTTTAAAGAATTAAGGAAAGATAGAGAAAAGAAGCTAATTCTAACAGTAAAAAAAGAAGAAAAAAAAAGGAAGTATTGACAGGAAAGTGAGAAGACCCAAATATTGTTATACCCACTGGATGTATTTGGGCTGTTACTAGCTGTGAAAATTATAAGCCAAACAGCTCAATACAAGCTCAAGAAATGTGGGTATCAGCAAGGAAAAAGAAGGAACTGAAAATGAAAGGGGAACTATGTTGCAGATTGCCGAAGGGCCTGCAGAGGTTAGAAGCCTCGGTACTGTGGAGACCAGAAGGATCACAGCGTGACTCTGATAGTGGAAGCAGAATGGAGTAGAGGACGGGACAGATGGGGGCTAATGCATCTCTGCCATATATGGGTAAACACTATTTCAGTAACCTGAGAAGAATAACTGGACCATCAATAAAGAGATAAAGTGGCCAAATGTTTATGGTAATACCAGTTACTTTGGTTTATGAAGGAATGAACTGCATTTACTGTGAATGGACTTACTAGATATTTCAGTTGCGGAGATATTTAAATCATGAGACTTTTACATTAACCACCTTTTGACAAAGATCTTTAAAAAATGTAGTACAAGGGTGCCTGGTGGGCTCAATCGGTAGAGCATGTGACTTTTGATCTCATGGTCATGAGTTTGAGGCCCATTTTGGGTGTAGAGATTACTAAAAAAATAAACTTAAAAAAATTTTTAATAAAAAGCGTAGTACACATTTCCTTGTGCTTTCTTAAGCACAGTATATAAAATTCAGCTCTTCTTGTTGACTCTGAGTCATCGTTATAAATGTAAGTAATTCCCTGTAGGGAATACCATGAGGCATTGCTGCAAGAGAGGACTGTGTGTCCTATCACAGCACAGATGTACTGAACATGCTGCTGTTATAAAAGGAATTTTCACAGTGGGGACCATTGCCCCTGATAACACAGCTGTGCTTTCATATGTACTTACCTGGTAGAGGAGGTTCTGATGGTCTACCAAAATGTGTGTGACTGTAAGTCCTACTTTGTACAGTAATTCTATTTTCTTCTGTGTTTCCTTTTCTTATCTACTGTCAGGATTAGTTACTGGTCATCTTGTTCTCCTTCCAGCCTCCAAACATCTTATTATATTGCTTTTCCTAATCACTGCAGCATCTTTTGCTATTGCATTAATTTTTTAAATAATGGGAAGTAAGCCTGGATAGATCAGGAAAGCCAAACAGAGCAAACTGTTGACAAAATTGTACAGTTGGCTATTTTTGGTGGTGCCCTATCTTCCATTTCAGTATT